CTAATTTGTAATATCTACGGCCTTATCTAACCCGAGGAAGTGGACAGGATACCCGACATATTTGAAATCCCTTGATCCATCAGCCATGGTTTCCAAACTTCTTCAAAGCTGGTGTATCTATCTTGTAATATACTATAAAGCTTCTCATGGATCATAATCCAGTTTAATTTGGACAGAACCATAGAGAATTGAACCCTTTCTGACTTCCAGGATCGATCGGCAAAGAGAGCACATTTATGGTCCTCTGACTGGCAGTTGATCCCTCTGATATCAGAGCTACCTCGGAGCAATATAGCTAAAGGTTCAATTGCCAGTGCAAATAGCAAAGGCGAAAGAGGACACCCTTGTCTCGTCCCTCTACGTATAGAAATAGATTCTGACAAATAGCCCTGTAGGCGAATCTGCGCTGAGGGAGAGGAATACAATACTTGGACTATATGTAGAAAATAAGGTCCAAACCCCTGGCGTTTTAACAATTGCAGCAGGAAATCCCAGGAGACCGAGTCAAATGCTATCTGAAGATCTATAGAAAGTAGCATACCATTTTGAGGGTGAGAACCCCCACGGAGTTGTTAAGCACCGAAATAAGATCGATTGCCCTCCTGACCTGATCTGGGCCCTGCCTACCAAGAATAAAGCCTACCTGATCCCGATTTATATAGTTACTTAAGAATGTCTTTAATCTATTTGCATAGATTTTAGACAGCAACTTAATATCGTTATTGATTAGTGAAATCGGTCTGTAATTAGAAACCTCACCTGGATCTTTGTTAGGCTTTGGGATAACGCTTATGAAGGCTCTATTCAAGTCCAGGTCCAGGGAGGCTCCTGAACGTAGAGAGTTAAAGAAAGCTTCCATATGGGGGGCAAGAATCTCTACATGTTTTTTGTAATAAGATACAGGTATACCATCTGGGCCTGGAGCTGGCGCCGCTTTCGCCGCTTTGATTACAATTTTAATTTCTGACAGGGCAATAGAAGATTCCAATATTTGTTTATGCTCAGCTAGTAACACGGTAATAGGAAAGCTGTTAAAAAACTTAGCCATCCGGTCTGCTGGGGTCCACGTTTGAGCTTCGTATAGTGAGGAATAGCATTTGTAAAACTCCAGAAGAGCTTTTCTTGGGTTCTGAGTATAATTGCCAGATGTACATCTAATTTTGGGCATTGAAGCATTACGCGTTTTGGGAGACAATTTAGAAGCCAATATTGAGCCTATTCGATCTTTATGTATATAATATCTATTAGCTTTTTTTCTGCCCTTGTGGTTAGGAGCAAATTTAACTCAGTCCTCACGGTTTCAATGTGGAGGAGGGAAGGGAGGGGCTGATATTTATGTTGTTGAGACAATGATTTTAACTTCCCTTCTAATTTTGTCACCTGTCTAGAAGTTTGTTTTTTGAGTCTAGTAGACTGTTCTATAAATTTGCCCCAAATGGTCACCTTATGAGCTGCCCAGACCACAACTGGAGAGATATTTAAGTCACAATTCTGGGCAAAATAAAGGGAAAGTTGAGCCGAAATTTCATCATTAAGCGATGGTGTGCTTAGTAGTGATTCATTTAGCCTCCACTGGAATGGTTTATTACAATAGCATACATGTGAGAAGGTCATCGTGACTAAAGAATGGTCAGACCAAACCATATCTTTAATATTGGAGGAGATCACTCGGGGGACCAAGGCTGAAGAAATAAAAATATGATCTATTCTTGCATAAGTCCCATGTGCGTAGGAAAAGTGTGTATAGTCCCTTTTTGAAGGATTCTGTTCCCTCCAAATGTCGATCAGGGAATATGTATACAATAGTCGGGCGAATTCTAATCCTGTTTCAACACAGGATTTAGATTTAAACTTCCCTTTTGTAGGTCTTATCTACAGTGGAGTCCAAAGCAATATTGGAATCTCCTGCACAAACAGTTATCCCCTCTATATGCGGTGACAGAGCTCCCATCATGGAGGAGAAAAAGGGTATTTGGGCGGTGTTCGGGGCATAATAAGATATTAATGAAAATAGTTGATCTTCAATGTACCCTTTAAGAAAGATATATACCGACCCCCTGGATCTCTAACCTCGAGGATAACTTTAAAGGAGACCCCTAAAGCAAAGCATATAGCCACCCCCTTTGTTTTATCCATGGTGTTTGCAGTATAAAATTTCGGATAGTGTTTGTGCATAAAAGATGGAAAATTAATAGCAGAGAAATGAGTCTCTTGGAGAAAGAGGATATCAATATGATGAGAGTAGTAGTTTTCAAAGGCCTTCCTTCTCTTAATTGGAGAATTCAGACCCTGAGTGTTATGTGAAGCAAGAGACAAGGGTTTACCCACTATCTTAAACGGCATTTAGCTTTTACAATCCAGCTATAATTTAAGCCCCTCAGTGTCTGCCCAACCTCGAGTTTGTATATTCGAGGGCAAAGTATCCAAAACCTCATAGAGTCTGCCAAAAATGAAAAAACTAAGATAAATAAGTAAAAAGTGCAATTTATATAAGAAAAAAAGAGAAGGAAAGAAAAAATAAGTAAGAGAAAAGAAAGGGGACCGGTCGGGGGAAAGAATCCCCCTTCCTTGTCGGTTAACTCGGTCATCCTAAGATGATCGAAGGTTTGGACTAGGCCCCAGGTAGCCCCGGGAGCCAGAACAAACTGAAGCGCACGACCTCCTACGGCTGGCAGGACCCACCCTCAATTACACAAAATTAATTCATCTTAACCACTCCAGTTCTAATTGAACATAACCAAATCCTACCCCAGAAAACCCTAGGTAATGCATATTAACCCTGTGTTTAATATAAACATACAATCCCTTCCTAAGGCGCAACCATAACAGTTCCTATTTCACTTAAAGAGGCAAGGGATTAAGTAATTTATGAGTTCTCCTAGGGCTTGAATGCAATTCGTCACCAGCCACCAGGTGCAGGTTTGTCAGGAGGAACAAACTGGTGGCTGGTGACAAATTGTTGAGTGCGTTTGTCATTTGTTTTGCTTGACCGATTTGGTGCAGTGACGCATGGGGGTTCTCAGCTGCCATTGGGATGTGCGGGATCCCTTGTGTGTCCCTGTGCCTTTTAAGGAGGTTGGGCTCCCTCCTGACAAACCTGCACCCAATTTGAAACCTCTGTTAACCTTAGTGGTGAGACAAGATGTTTTTACATGCTGGTTTGTGAGTGTGCCATGATACCTTTCTACTGTTTTATCATATAGGGGGAGCCTCATATCTGCTAATGTGTGTTCCAGCAGGGACAGTGTTGAAGCTGGAGATCTCTGTTCCGAGGACCGCCCCCCCCCTCCGCCAGGACTGATGGTGAAAAGATAGACTCCACTTTGTCTGCTTCCTCTTGTGTTGCAGACGTGTCCGCCTGTTCCATCCGAGCTGGCTCTGTCTTGGGCGCCGCCGGCGTCTGCCGCGGGCCCTTCTTTGAGTGGCTCTTTTGCTTTCCCCCCGGTCATTGTGGACAGACTGGAGCAGGCCGGGGCATGAATCGGGGGCCGGAGAGTTCCTGGAGCGTCACAACTGCTGGAGGAGTGAGACGTAGGACCCCGCCGAGGTACGGAGCTCACGGCTTACGTGGCCAACTTTGGAGCCTCGCGCATGCACCTCGTTTTCTCAAATTTGACTGTAAAAGTGGAAATACACTTTAAGACAAATTCTACCACATCTGTTCATGCGTCATGGACTTTTCAGCATTATGCATGTTTCCCAGGTTTGCAAGGCTGCCACTTGGTCTTCTGTTCATACATTAAAGTTTTAACAGGTGGGTGTTCAGGCCTCATCAAATGCTAGTTTGGGGCATAAGATTCTTCAGGCTACTCTTAGTTATCCACAATTCTCTGTGTCTGTTATGTGGACCTGTTAACAATTGTTGTTGTGTGGCCCTTAGTCGGATTGCTTTTTGGATGTACGGCAGTGTAAGACTTATTCTTATGCATTGTGATGTATGAATAGAAAAAAAGGGTTTTTGTATTACATGTAATATTTTATAATTCAACATTTTCATAACACAAAACAGAAACAGTAGTCAATATATTATCTCAATCAGAAAATCATAAACAAATCAAAGAGCAGGGTCAGCACCCAAATCCCTATCAGTGAGTTGTAAGGCTTTGTCACATACCTTCTTCCAAAATGGGCAGATCACAGGGCAATCCCAGAATATGTGTAACATGGAACCTTCAGCTTGATGACAGCACCAGCACATGGGGGAAGAATAGGGGAACAGGCGATGTAGCCTCTTCTGAAACATATATTATCTGGACAACAGCTTATACCGGGCTTCTTGGAACTTATTAGCAAAGGAAATCTGTGAGCAAAGTGAATGATGTAGTCCTTTTGATCATCAGTCAGAGTAACCCCCAAATCACTTCCCCACTGCAAGATAAACTGGGGCGTATAATCCTCCGGTGGTGTCAGGAGAAGCGAGTGGCAAAGGGAAAGAATGTGGCGGATCTCAATTGTCTCTGTTTTAATGATTACTACTTATTGCGTACTACAAAAGTAAGACTTGTTTATGAGTATACTTTGTATACTCAACACATTTAATAGATTATATCCGCTTCTTCAGGACCAGCAGCAAAAGGGTTATGAGTGATACAATAATCTAGTGGCTGATGAAGAAGAAGTATATATAACCTACAAAACAGATCTAATCTATGAAACAAGTTGACCATATTTAATCGGGCTAAATGTATTTTGTGTCATCATCATCTTTGCTCTGAGTCTACTTCTGTATGAGTCAGCACTGTCTCTCTTTGCCCTATTTGTGTCTTCATGTGTATAGCACGAATCTGTCATTAGTTCACCCAAACAGTAATCATAGTAATCATGGGTCACTCCACAGACAATCTGGCAAACTCTGAAATTAAAAAATTATAATAAACATTACTTCAGCAAATTGAACATCATTACATTGATTAAATAAGCATTGCCTTTACCCACTGTCATTTTCTACTTTTATGTGCCTTATCAGTCAGCTTTTTAATTAGTACATTTTTGTATCATAGGGCAACAATCAAAGAGAATGTTGTATTGATCAAGCTTCAGAAACAGCTGACAGAAAAAAACAGAGCTTTTGCTGAGATGGAGAGCAAGTTTCATGCACTTCAAGAGGTATATTGGTATAAGATTCTTATCTTTAATAAACTTTGATTGGCTATATGATTTCACACAGGAAAGAGAAACATAACTTTAGACTATATATGAATTAATTAAACATCTGGATGGTCTGCCAGACCAACCTATTAACATTCTACTAAAGGGTAAGTATAGATCTGGATGGAGGGAAGCCGGTGGATGTAGTATATTTAGATTTTTCAAAAGCATTTGACACGGTACCACATAAACGCTTACTACACAAGCTGAGGTCTATGGGCATCGATGAAATGGTGTGTACATGGACAGAGAACTGGCTACAGCAAATGGCTCCTTTTCAGATTGGGCTAGGGTCATGAGTGGCGTGCCTCAGGGATCTGTGCGAGGCCCCATGCTATTCAACCTGTTTATTAACGATATCGGGGATGTTTGTTACAAAATTCCTTTTTCGCCTTTCAAATTTAATGTTTTATTAAGAACTTCCCCACATAAAGGCACATTGCAGGCTCACGTCTCTATTTCTGCAAACTTCAGTAAAGCCAAGAGAAATAATATTGTCTGAGTAGTCCCCC